GGGGGGCTCCAGCGGCTGAGGGGGCTGCCTGTGAGTGACAGAGGGCAGGAGCTCAGCCAGCACCAAGCACAGACCCTGCTTCAGCACAGGGTAGTGCTCCCAGAGGTGCCCCACCACATGCCAACACCTCTGCCAGACTCTGGCACTCACCGCTGCTCCACCACGCCCCAGCTGGACCCATGGGCATCCCTGTGGCATCAGAAAAAACAGCAGCACAACTGTCAATGGTGGATCCATAGCTCGGCCCATCCTTCCCATATGTACTCAGTCCCATGGAGGCACAAGCCATGTGAAAATGCCGGCAGCACTGACTCCCAGCCAGCCTTGCAGCTGCTCCACAACTGCATGGAACATAATGTCCCAAGACCAGTTGCAGCCCAGCAGTCCCCAACACCCCCAGCAAGGTGCTGTCAGTGCCATCAGCCATCCCCATCCACTGTGTCCAGCCCACGGTGCTGCACTTTGGCCTCTCCAGTTCCATGCCAGCAGTGCCCAGAGGGTCCTGCCTGCACACCTCACATGGGGACAGCCTGTCTGACAGCTGGGTCCCCAGGCAGAACCCTCCTGAGGCGATAGTCAGAGCAGTGGCTGAGCACCAGTGGTGCCTCTTGTGCAGCTCTGGAAACAGCCCGAGTCTGGGGAAGGGAGAGGACCGAGAGGGAGAAAAGAATCTGCACAGAGCAAAGAGCATCCCCAGAGTGACTGCAAGCTGTGAGAATGAAGCAGCCAGGTGGGCTGAGCCCCAGGTGGGCACCTTGTGGCTCCTACTGCCACCAATTCACATGCTCCCCTTACCTGGGCTTTTTATCAAGCTCATCCTCACCATCCTCCACTAAGCGCAACAGGAGAGAAAGGGGGAGATGGAGTTAGTCTGTGGCAACTGAGGCCCACGCACAGCAGGAATGAAAGGGAAGGGAAAGGAAGGAAAAACGCCCTCTCCTCCTGCTGCCCCCTTGCGCCAATGCACAGCCCTGCCCAACCATGAGGCAGAGGATGGCACCAGACCAGTGGCACCACCACAAGCCTGCACACAGCCCTGGGCAGCTCCCACTGGCTCAGCTGCCACAGAGGGCCCACATGGGGCCAAAACCAATGCCCCACTGCCACAACACACCATGGCTTTTATCCAGTTCCAGATGCCCCAGCAAAGCTGAGCACACCCAGCCTGTCAGCCAGTGCCAGGCCACATGGGAACTCACTGCTGTCTGCGCCCACCAGCCGGGCCAGTTTGCGGAAGGAGCGGGATTGGGAGGTCCAAGTGTGGGGCTGCGAGTCATCAATGTCCTGCAACATCCGCAACTTCACAGGGTCGCACACGGGGCTGCTGGGGGGCTCCAGCAGCTGAGGGGGCTGCCTGTGAGTGACAGAGGGCAGGAGCTCAGCCAACACCAAGCACAGACCCTGCTTCAGCACAGGGTAGTGCTCCCAATGGTGCCCTGGCACATGCCAACACTTCTGCCCGACCCCGGCACTCATAGCTGTTGCCCTGTACCCCAGCTGGACACACAGGCATCCCTGTGGTATCAGAAAGAATGGTGGCACAACAGTCAGTGGTTGACCCATGGCTTAGCCCATCCTTCCCGTATGCCCCACCAGCTCAGGGATACACAAGCCTTACAGAAATACCGTCAGCATTCACTCCTGACCAGCCTTACAGCCCACCAAAACATCGTACCCCAGGTCCAGTCCCTGCCCAGGAACTCCCAACACCCCAATCAAGGTGTTATCAGTGCCACCAGCCACCCCCACCCACTGTGTCCAGTGTACAGTACTGTACACAGTGCTGCATCTCAGCCTCCCCAGCTCCATGCCAGCAGTGCCCAGTAGGTCCTACCCAGTACAGGGACACCCTGTTTGGGAACCCCATCTGGCAGGTGGGTGCCGGGGCAGGACCCTCCCAAGGTGATTGTCAGAGCAGTGGCTGAGCACTGGCAGTGCCTCTTGTGGGGTGAGCACAGGTCTCGCTCTGTGGTTCTGCCAGCAGCTCATCTCCGGGGAGATGGAGAAGACAGAGGGACCTGAGGGTGGAGGACAAGGAGAGGAGAAAAGAAAGAGCAACAGGGAAAAGAGCTTCTCTAGAGTGACTGCAAGCTGTGAAGATGAAGCAGCCAGGTGGGCTGAGCCCAGGGTGGGCATGTTGTAGCTCCTACTGCCAACCCAGCACACGCTCCCCTTACCTGGGCTTTTTAACAAGCTCATCCTCACCATCCTCCACTGCGTGCAACAGGAGAAAAAGGGGAAGATGGAGTCAGTCTGGGGCAATCAAGGACCAGGCACAGCAGGAAAGGAAAGGAGGAAAACCAACC